ATTTAGCATTGTAAACTTGCGATGAAACGGACAGAAACATATCTTTGTGTAAACCGATTTAAATATATAGCATGGTTTCCGCAACATTCATTCTTCCGTGGCCGGGCGCCACACCAAAATTTATCCCACCACGGCTAAAATACAGCTTCTCATTCAAAACATTCGGTCGTTTTTTTAAATAGTGGATTATAATCGCACCAAAAACGTATTGAAAGGTAAGTGAATTATAACATCGCAAACTTTTCTGTAACCGTAGTAGTACTGTGCGTTCTTTGTTTAACCCTTTAAGGTGATGTCCTGACTGACTGACTGACATATGCGTGATGCGTAAGGCCAGCAAACACGACGTAGCTTTCTGTTCAGATGAACACAGTTTCCATAATTATATTTCATTTATAGATGAAGGTCTGTGGTTCTGCATTTAGTGACTTTATCTTGCTAGAGTTTATAGCTGTTTCACGTTACTTCAGGATGCAGTAATGCCGCTCTGTAAATCTATTGGAGACATTCATAAATATTCCTAGCAAATCTAATAAATGTTGGCGATATACTTGTTACAGAAATGCACTAAATCACACTTCAGCAGCGTTTATTTGAGGGTGTGCAAGAAAATCTGCACTTAAGCAGCGTATATTTGAGGGTGCGCAAGAAGTTTTGTGCACGAACAAAGAAAATTGGCGCTCGAGCAGAGGTTGGCACTCTCGTAGGCTATTACATGAATGCGATCTTGACTTAATACTGTGCCCACGACATTTGTCAATGAAATAACGCCACATGTAGTCATAGATCTATGTAAAATGCCCAACAGAGTCTGCCACCACAGCTGAAAAAAATCCTAGAGGAAACACTGTATAGGACTGTCAATGTATTAATATTATGAAAAGCTGAGATGTAGATCAACAACTATGATTTATAACTGCTGTAAAATTATGTAGTTTGTTGTTGTCAACAATTTTCTCAAAACAGGCTTGGGCGGTATCCAAATTTTGAGACCGTCAAACCGCCTCCACATTTTACCCCGGTATCCGGTATTACCGGCGTAATAAAAAAAAATTATGACGTAAGGCTCAGACAGCGTCACCAAACTGTTGGCTTGAGCCTAAACCATTCAGAAACTGAATACTTTCTATGCAATCTTAGGCTCGCGGAGAGAGAGAGAGAGAGAGAGAGAGAGAGAGAGAGAGAGAGAGAGAGAGAGAGAGAGAGAGAGAGAGAAGCGAAGCGAAGCGACGCACAACACCCCTCTCTCTCTATATCTCTCTCTCTCTCTCTTACACACACACACATCTCTCCCGCGATTTATTCAGAAGTTTACTCTCACACCGTAAGAAATCTGGCCGGCTCCCGCGGTACAGCAGCGGGAATGCAGAGCTGTAATCGGGCCATAAAAATTATACCGATAGGTCCCGAGACCGACAGGTACATTTTGATTGACAGCTTTATTAAGTCGAACCCGTTTACAGCCCGACATTATTCAAGTGTGCTCATGCACACAGCACTAATGCATTTTTTTCAAGAATGAGTCATTTATATGTTTTAACATCATTTATTCGTAACAAACGTATACTATAGGCCACTTGAAAGTTGGAACAAATAAAATAAGTCCTCTGAAACATCGTAACATCTCAGCACTCTAACACTTTGCCTTTAAATTGGCTAACACAATTAAAAAAGAAATCTTGCTTAACAAATCAAATTAAAATAAACTCTAAATGATGACGGGTATTTTGGCAATAATGAAATTTAGTTAAAGGCTGTGCAAGAATTGTTTCTCCATTTCTCTTCACAATCTGGCATTAGGGCGGCCGTGAAGCTGAATATTAAAAGAATAATGCCACCATTAGCCTGTATACTCTGTCTAAATTATGATTATATGGTTTAATTAACATTTATTTATAATTTTGAACCCTGTACTCACCAAGATTAGGCTACGTGTGTTTGTGGAGGAACATTATTAAATCCACTGGCTTTAGCGCAGTCTTGCGCTCATGTGCGTCCAGCAGCTGAACACCCTTTCCTGCGGCTACAGGTCGAGATGCAGAGTTCTGATCCGGCTGATTTTGCAAGTTTTAGGTAGGCTTGTTTGTTCATCTTCTACCAGTCAGGAACATGCATTTAATTTGCCATGACAGCAGTTTTAGGGTAGCGAGTGGCCTCGTCATTTTACCTGCCTTCTTGCGGTTTAGGGCTCTACCGTAATACGCAGTGTATGAGCGACCGCGAAATACCTGCGGCTGGAATAACCGCTCCTTATGAGCTAGTGACTGGCTTGACCGCCGTCAAAATTATCTTTTTTTTACTACTTCGTCATCATTTGCTTCACCTTTGCAGGGATGGATTTTAATGCAGGTATTTGGATTTTTTCGGGTCTCGCCGGGTTCGGGCAAAGATCTTTAGCTCTAATGCAGACCTCTCGTTCATATTAAAAACGTCTCCCTTCTATTCAGTCGAAACTCCCAAACTGCAGGACACTTTGGAGCGCCACTCGTCACGTCACTTCTCCCTCTGCCTCCCTCTCACCCTCTCCCCCTCCCTCTCCCTCTTTCTCTCTCTCTCCTCCACACTGTCCCGTGATGGCAACCACACATACGTTTTTGTAGGCATTAAATAAAGGATATTTAATATTTTATGACGGTATAACGGTATTGAAACTCACACCGTTTCTATTTTTAGATCCCGCGGTATACCATAATACCGTAATACCGCCCAAGCCTAAAACACACAGAGAATATATCGAATGAAACCACCTCCATATGCATGGAAATCATTTCTGAAAACCATCACGTTTCCAATTAACGTGCTGAGATATTTAAAGCAGATTTAATTCAATTTAAAATATGAATAAAAACCCATCTATCCGATGTCCTCCATAAAATGACCTTGATGCCAAAACAGGTCCAGTGAAGTGCTTTGACATGAACCGCACATCAATTCAGCATGAAAATATAGAAAAAAAAGAAAATAATCTATCATTTCAGAAAGACCCATCTGCTGACACACACACACACACACACACACACACACACACACACACACACACACACACACACACACACACACACACACACACACACACACACACAAGCTCTATTCAGACAAATGCTGGCAGGCTGAAGCAAATAGCCATTGTAATGTAGCACACATGCTCCAAGTTCATCCGCCAGCCCAGTTTGGCCTCGCTGGATGGCAGATCCACTGGCACACATACTTGGTCCAGCGCTGCACCCGTCCATGCCAACTCGCTGCCGTCTAAAATCAAAAGTGCAGCTTTGGGCCACATCCATCTGTTGCAATGCGAAACACTTACTCAAACATTAAACTAGAATTTAAATCCCACGCATTATCATATTAGGAGCTTTACCAGGGTCAGGCATTTAATTTTCCATTCATTTTTGGTCTTTGTAAAGGCAATTTGTATAATTACCTTATAAAAATGATTCTTTGTTGACTATTATGTTGAACCAATTACTATAATCTATTATGAAACTACAGACTACCACCAGTCAAGCTGAATTAAAGGAATAGTTCACCAAAAAATGAAAATGATTCCATAATTTACTCACCTTAAAGCCATTCTTGGTCTATAATATGACATGTTTTTCTGTCAGGCAAACACTGCCGGAGTAGTTTTAAAAAGCCCCTATTATAAGTTTTTAAAAAATGACCTGAAACGTCTACTTTAGCCAATCAGAACACTCAGGCGCATTCACATCCGTGCTGTTCATGAAAATAAAAGCCTGTGAATATTTTTCCAGACACATTTAGCTGCGAGATGTTAGTCGGATCATGTTTCTATGTTCATTCTTAATGCCAACTGTGTAAATAATTATCGATAAGATGCTTATGATAAGCCGTTGTTTCTTTACCTTCAAGCTCTGCTTCCTTAAGTTGCATGACGCGTTGCGCTTGCACGTGAAGCAGCCGGTAAGCGCCAGCACACACACATATTATGAACATCTCGACATGCAACAGTGTTTCTCTATATGCCTTCATCGAAGTTGTTCACAATACTGATCCATTCATAGACTACATTATACAGTAATGTGGTCAAATGTTTACAAATACAAGCGCAGCCGTTTAGAGCTCATTTCTGGTTAATGATGTCAAAAATAACCGATATTTTGGAATGGATGTGGTGAAATAGAAAATTCCGTAACGCCCTTGCCTGTATGATCAACGCTTTTTTTGAATCTACCGATAAAGTAGTTCCGGAAATTTTCTATATATTTACTGTTATCACTGTGTGAAAGGGGCTATTTTCTAAGAGGTTAGTGTATTGTACTCTGTGACTGTGCTTGGTCTTTCTTTGATGCTGATAAAACCACCACATCGAACCTGTAACTCTTTTATGAAATAGTAGTAAATCACAGTTTAAACCAATTTGGATCAGAAGAATTGCAATTCGATTTTTTTCTACAAATCATGCAGCCCTAAAATAATGCCAGATTTTTCAGTTTTGGGTGAACTATCCCTTTAATCATGACAGTTGAATTAGGGCTTAATTGTGCAAGAACCATTTATTCCAACCTTATCTGCAGTTTTAGAGTTGGTTTTATGCACTCTTGATTAAATTATTTCCTCAAGCCCTAGTTAATTTCTGACCCTGGGCTCTATTGAGTTCCAGAAAAGCGGTCGGTGTAGAGTTCTTCCGGACAGGTATAGATTTCTTAAAAGTCCCAAAAAAAGAAACAGCAATGAGACTTTAATTACTAGCCTGGGAGCATGTGGAGGCCAATGCAGGATTCCACCTGGTCTGTGAGACTGTGATAATTCAGTTTAAGAAACATTTATGTTGACGGGGAAAGCAAAGTACAGTAACAAACAGGTCAGAAAAACAGGTGCTTCAGCCCATAGGAGGGAAAAACCGAAAGTGGGTCAGAATATTTAAGTTGACACACACACACACACACACTCTAACCTGGATAACAGCTTCCTGTGGAATTTATTCATGTCGTAAAGCAAACCTTGCACAGAGATGCAGGGATGAGGTCATTACTTACTCTGCTTCACCAATCTTTTGTCCACCACGATCACGTTTTCAGCATCGATGACGATGACTTTTCCATCACGGGGCCCGACTGCGAAATTGTCGAAGCTGACGTCCAGGAGGTAAAGGGCGAAGTCAAAGTCATTGTTGGTCAGCTGCTCGGCGATGTCCATCAGCTGCTTGGCAAGATCTACTCTTTTCTCCCAGGGCGCATTGTAGAAGCTCCAGAGCTCCTCGCCCACGTAATTCACCGCCACCATCCGGCCGCAGGCCCCCAGGTATTTGGCGAACGGCCAGCCCTCATCTGAGGGAAAACTCTGCAGAGAAACACGAGGACAGAGGCAAAGTGAGAAAGTGCTGCACTGCTCACAAACACGATAAAGAAGAAAACACAATGATCTCACAACATTTTGAACAAAAGATGCGCATTAAAACCCACATAAACCGGAAGCTGCGACCATTTTTTTTTCTAAATTGTGATGTAGCACAATTCTTATTGGATGAGACTGACAAATTATATTTTATTCTCTATCTTTTGTTTTTACTGAGGTTTATACCTGGCTTTGTTGTATACCTTTATTGTATGTTTGTTGATAATAAAAAAGGCATTTCTGGAGAAAGTCTTATGCTGTGTTCATACCAAATGCGGAACATGCGGATAAATTTCGATATATGCACGTAAATAGACGCATGGACATTTTGAGGTTACTCGCTTCATTTGTGCGTCAAATCAGCTTCATTCGCGCGTCAAACCAGCTTCATATTATATTAGCCGGCAGCTAGCTCTCTGCAACTCTCACATGGTCGCCCACTGAAGCTAAGCAGGGCTGCGCCTGGTCAGTACCTGGATGGGAGACCACATGGGAAAGCCAGGTTGCTGGCGGAAGTGGTGTTAGTGAGGCCAGCAGGGGCCGCCAAAACTGCGGTCTGTGTGGGTACAATGCCCCAGTATAGTGACGGGGACTCTATGCTGCTCAGTGAGCGCCGTCTTTCGAATGAGATGTTAAACCGAGGTCCCGACTCTCTGTGGTCGTTAAAAATCCCAGGATGTCCTTCGAAACAGAGTAGGGGTTTAACCCCGGCATCCTGGCCAAATCTGCCCACTGGCCTCTGTCCATCATGGCCTCCTAACCATCCCCATATTCCAATTGGCTTCATGACTGTCTCCTCTCCACTAATCAGCTGGTGTGTGATGTGCGGTCTGGCGCAAAATGGCTGCTGTCGCGTCATCCAGGTGGATGCTGCTCACTGGTAGTGGATGAGGAGATTCCCCCCATTGTGTAAAGCGCTTTGAGTGCCCAGAAAAGCGCTATATAAATGTAAGGAATTAATTCATTCGCACATCAAATCATCTTCATTCGCGCGTCAAATTCACTGAGCAATAGACGAGGATTCGCGTCATGGGTAGGGTTTCTGTCTGCCCGGTGACTAGCTTCGTTGCTAAATGGCTAACATGGATTTTATTGAGAGAATAACTGTGTTTATGTGCTTTATGAAGGTTGAAAAAGAGCATTGATTTGTTTGGAGCCATGTCTGAGTGCAATAGATAATTTTAGAGGTGCACCCAGCTCATCAACTCCTCCAGAAATTATACCTGGATGATGGAAGCTTTCAGCAAAGCTTCTGACTGAGCCGAGCCCAGTTTGATGAACTGTTGTCGGTGCCGGCAGGAGGATTTTCCCCCGGGACACCAACAACAGGCGATACATCATACTCCCGCCTCCACAAGAGCAAGCTCCTCATTGGTTTTCGCTGCTTCATTCGCGCGCATCGCGCCACAAGATCTATAAAGTCTATTCGTGACTTAACATGTAAATCACTCACGCTTGACGCTTCTTCCGTATCTGGTTTAAAATATTTATGTTAGTCCAGTAAAAAGAGTAAAAGTATAGTAAAAGCAGTTTACATAGGACTAATATAGCATGTCAATATAATTAGCCCCCCCTTAAGAATTTACAGAACAAACCACTGTTGTCCAATGGCTTTCCTCATTTTCTGTAACAACCTATAGTTAATTATTTAAATTGAACTTTAATACTAGCATCTTGCGAAAATACTAGTAAAATATTATGTAAATTATATAATATTATGTCATTATGGTAAAGTCATAGGAATTGGTTATTAGAAATGAGTTCTTAAAACTGTTGAAAACAAACTCTGTTAAACAACACTTATACATATTTAATGAAATATATATTTTTAAACTTCACAAGAGGGCAAATAATTTAGTCTTTAACTTTATGTCTATTTATACCCTCCAATGCCCTCTAGAAAGTCTGAAATGACTATAGAAATGGGCCACTTGTTCAATAAAATGCCAAGCTCTAGGGACATTCCTAGCAAAACAAACATTTGTCATGACCTGTCAGTCACTCAAAAGCATCTCGCTATTCAGCTACATAATTTATAAGATAGCCAAGTTAGATTTCTTGAAACCTTTCTTTTCCTTTATTTTGAGATTTTTTTTTTTACATTTAACACCGTTTAATATATACACATCTATATTTTAAATACTGTACACCCTTTTAAGTAATGAGCTGTTCATCTTCTGTGATTGTGATTCTGAGAACAGTGATATGTCAATTGCATCCACTCCCACATAAAAAAAATACTAGCAATAGGTTTCTTGATCTATATTATAAAAAATAGCCTATTTAAATTCTGTAGTTGCTATGGTATCACAACAACTATAGACATAACCCAATACTGAAAAACTATTTTAAAAAACACAATAATACTTATTACAAATTACTATAGTATTTCTCATGAGGTCATATATCTGCGATACAAAACGTGATGACGTTTTCAGGCAGCAAAATGGCGAGATTCGAGAATTGTCCAACTTCTGATGTATTTTTTGGATCCCTCCTCTTACTGCAGACACCTGCTCTCGTCTGCACTGGAGTCAAGGCGAGGCGGATCTCAAACAAGCCTAATATCTGTTAGCTGTCAAAACAGCTGGAGGAAGGCATGGGTAATTTACTAATTTACCTCCAGCCTATATCCCAGACAGATGTAACCTGAGAATTGAACTGAAAACAAACAGGAAGTGCATTTTCAGATTCTGATTTTTGATTACAAGGGCAAACATTTAGTTTTTCTTAATGACATGCACTGATGAATTGTTCACCGCAAAACTAGCAATGTGAGCTAACAAAATTAACATGGTTAGGTTTGATTTCATTTACACTTTAAATATTGATAACCTGTACAGTCATTAGCTTGGGGCAAAGTAGTTGTACCAAACTTTCCTTTTTTATAGTGCTGTGGATATTCGATAACCCCATTTCAAGTTGAGTCATTAAAAATGGAGCGACCATTAAAGTTTAATCTCAGGGATTCAAATAATTTAGAGGACAAAACACAGCATTCGGCAATCAGTCGCAGCCTTCAACATCTGCCCTCTGTGGTCTGGACTGAAGAGATGGAGGGGAGGAGTCCGTCTTACGGTTTGGGGAAAAAGTCATATATATGCGGTAAGGCCAGCAATGTTTAAAGGGTCCTGAAACCCCAAAACACATTTTTTATTTATGTTGACAGTCATATATGTGTCCCACGCTACTAAAAATACTATTAGGAGATTCATGCCAAATTAATCCAAATCATCTGGTGAAATTGTATTCACATGGCAATATACATCACATAAATACAAAACATCGTAATGTCAGATTTTTCCAACATCGCGCAGCCCTAATTCAAGTATACAGATATTTGTTAAACTAATTTCCATGACTTTGTAAAAACTGTGGGTTTTTCTGTTTTTTAAAAACTTTTCCATGACTGTATGAACCCTGCTTTTGCCTTGACCAGCTCAATAGGCACCAACATCATAATAAAAATAAATAAAGACTACGCTTAGGATTTTTTAGACTTGGATGCTATTTTTCTATAACGAATCAAAGATTTTGGGTGACACAGTGGCGCAGTGGGTTACCATGATCCCCTCACAGCAAGAAGGTTGCTGGTTCGAGCCACGGCTGGGTCAGTTGGCATTTGTGTGTAAAGTTTGCATGTTCTCCCTGTGTTCGCGTGGGTTTCCTTCAGGTGCTCCGGTTTCCTCCACAGTCCAAAGATATGCGCTTAAGGTGAATTGAATAATGTAAATTGGCCGTAGTGTGTGTGTGTGTGAGAGAGTGAATGCAAGAGTGCATGGGTGTTTCCCAGTGTTGGGTTGCAGCTGGAAGGGCATCCGCTGTGTAAAACATGTACTGGAATAGTTGGCGGTTTATTCCACTGTGGGGAACCCTGATTAATAAAGGGACTAAGCATAAAAAAAATGAAGGAATGAATCAAACACTTTATGGTGCAGCTACTGCACATCGAAAACAAAATGAGAACCATTTCTAAATGTATTAACTGTTATTTATTTAGTATACAAAGACTAGCCAGTAAATGTCACTTTTGGCCTTCAGAGCAGCATCAAAAACAGAACTAACATAAAATTTTATATATATATATATATATATATATATATATATATATATATATATATATATATATATATATATATATATATATATATATATATATATATATATATATATATATATATATATATATATATATATATATATAAAGGGTGTCACGATCCTCCAAATCCTCGATTCGATTACATTTTCGATTCTAAAGGCACAATTCGATTCGATTTTCGATTATGAATAATTAATTAATTAATTAATGACCAATTAATTATTTGTAGCCTACCGTTTAAACTACCTGACCTGCATGGTCTTTGTTTTACCCATAAACAAATCATACAGTAAATGAATAAAGGCAAGATACACACATAATTACCACCTGTCAATCACTTTTTCTGCGGGACTCGTAAATAGGCAGTGATCTGTTTTGTTATAATGGCGTCGGTAAAAAAGACGCACAACCAACAGGAACCAGCTAACAGTATCTGAGGTGTTCGCTAAAATGACTAAGTACAAGTGAGTGAAAGATTGAAGCAGTCCTCTGACTGCCTGGACCTGCTGTCTCGAGCGCATGGCTGTGAGTGCGTCTGTGTCTGTGTGGTCACGTGATGTGCATTTTCAGAGGCAGAGAGGAAGGAGAGCTGCTCAGAAATGCCACACGCCACTGTGGATGTCAAATCGTTGTCTTCTAAAATGCCATTTAAAAACAAATACAGTGTAAACAGGGCCTGAGTGTGTACTTTTCGCGAGCGGATTTGCAACGGGGGCGGGCGGAGGATCGCGATGCCGGTGTTGTCTATCGGACGAACCGTACGTAATACGAACATAGCAGAGCTTGCAAAACTGTGTTGAACGTTGTCTACATAACTCACTGGAAATCCAAAATGCTTAAACACCGG